AGTTTTGATTTACGAGTTGTAAAGAGGGAGAGTATAATCAAGATTTACAATAAATAAGGAACCATTGTTTCTCTTAAAAACCAAAGCTTATTGGAAATACTGGAAGATTTTCTTGCAATTACATTTCCAATTGAATTCCCTAACGATCAGCCCCTCGAATGAATCATTCGGCGGCAACCACGTGGTAGAAAGATTCGACGAAAAAACGCAATGAAATTCCATTCAAAAAACTACATGGAACAAAAGGCATTTGAATAACTCGCCGTACTTGTAGGCATGTAAAGGAATTAAAAAACGCTTTAAAAAACCAGACCGTATTGAAGGAAACGCCGCACAGCATATATTCACTCACTGCCAAAAGCAAATCAACCCCTCAAGGCTGTGGGCCCCCGGGGGTGCAACCATGTAAGGGGTGCACACGTACACACAGCACAGCGTGAGATGCGTGTAAATTTCTAAGCCATTACAATGTCACTGGGTCCTTGGAAGCACCCTAAAATTGCCAAGGCAAGAAGACATTGCAGGCGAAGTTCCGAAGGACAAGGGTTGAGGGTTAGGTTAAACTTCAGTCTGAGGGGAGGCAAAGGCGCACGAGTTACCGAAGCATAACATGAATGAGTAAATCTCAATATACACACGCACACACACACACGCAAGCACACACATTAATGCTTGGGGATGATTGGACCTGCAATGTGGAGGCAGCAGCAAGCTTTTTGGATTAGAGCTTCCAAGATGGCGATCATTGGTTGGTTAAAAGCGCTGGCACAGTTAAAAGCTTCATTCCAGGACACTACATTAGGAGAAAAAAAATAGAGATGATACTTCACTCCGAGATTAATTATTTTTTGAAAGTCCTCTAATTTGATTGAGAAGGATATCCATTTTTTCTATTGCTAAAAGTCGCCACCTAATTAATATATTGTTTAGGTGAAAAACAAAACACAGGAAAAACGCTGAAAAATCACTTTTACCAAATAGAATTATTTATATACATACATGTTAATGATAATCTTTAATCAGGGATTGAAAAAAATTACGTCCAATGGCAGATACATACATATATCCGTTAGAGCTTTCACTGCCGTCAAAAATGTTGAATTTATCCAAAAGAACATTTTCCAACACTTAGAACACATCTTAAGAAATCGTCCGGGTTTGATCACCAGCAAAGTATACAGCCCAACAGCTTTACCTCGTGATAATGCTTTTGGGCGAACAATTCTGTTTGGGTTTTTAACAATCACAATCACAAGTCAAAAGCAAAGAGCAATTAATTACCGCCTAGCAGAAGCGTCGCTCAGAGAGTTAAAGCTTGTTAAGTTTCTCTCATTACTGCACGACGCGAAGATCAAGAATATGCAAATAGGTGAAGATTGTGCATCTCACACACACATGCACAGAGTCGTAAAGTTGTGGGGGAGGGTCCAGTGCCATGAATGAATGGCATGTGCAGAAGTGTGTCATGCAGTGGGAATGAGAGAGAGAGAAAGAGAGCGCGATAGTTGCAGGGCGCACAGATGCATAAGTGTGGCATGCAGCATGCAAGCTGCACTCTTTGGCACACATTTTGCAGCTGGCAAAGTTTTCGCGCCAATTTGCGCGACCACAAAAATATGTAGCAAGCAACAACACAAAATCACAACACACAACAGCAGCAGCAACAACAAATAACAGGTTTACAACGGCTGACTGACCGACTCGTTGCCATGGTGAAGGTTGCAATAGAAGCAGCAGAAGCCAACACACCATGACAGCAACACATTGCAACCAGTGTAAAAATGCAAGCAACATCACGTTTTTCGGGCAGCCTTTTTGTGCTTCGTTTTTTTTTTGTGAATTTTACTTTGCGTTTATGGCAAACGCTTTATGGTAATTAGCGGAGGCGGGGCACAGCCACACGCACACAATCTGGTTTTGTTACGCTTTGTTCTGTGTAACAACACAAAGCATTTCACATACATACACGCATATGCATGTTGAGTAAAGTATATACAACAATATACATACACAGTTGTATGAGCTAATTGACAGCGCACTTACCTAGCTGCAATTTATGAAATTCTTGCACATTTGCACGAAATACACAAATTATAATCTATATATTTCTTTCTTTTCCAAGAACTTTGAGGCAATAGCAGCGCAGCACGCAGGTGTAGTTGAACACTATTTACCATTCGCTTTTGCGTTTGCTATTCTACACACAGGGTTGCATATTGGCGCGCGCGCGCGTAAGCGCACAGGGTTGCAAAGCAACGAATCATGGCGCGAGTTTTCAAAATTGCAGTAATCGGTTTGTGTTTGCTTTTAAACCAATTTTATTGCTAAAGGTTTAATGTTTATACAATTTAATGTAGTCTTATCAAATTGAAGCAATAAATGCAGCGACCTTTAGCTATCTTAAGAGCTGGTCAGGTATCTTGGTAAAACTACATATTTCGGGGGCCATGGATAATTTCCGTTGTAAATTGAGTCATATGAAAACTCAGATAAATATTGAAATACCAGTTATGGTATATGTCTGCAAGCATATTTGATCGTTGACTTGTTCGTTGTTAAACTATTGTACCCTCTCACATTACACAGTGTTGTTAAACCAAGCAACTATGCGCGGGGTTTAAACATAGTAAATGTTATCGATAACAAATGTTATTAATTAAAATATTGCTTATTTATTTACTCAATGCAATAATTTTACATATCCTCCACGCTGTACTTGTAAGCCTCGTCCTGTGCCGCTCGCCGCTCATTCTGCTTGTCAAACCAGCGCTGCTCGTAGCCATTGGAACGATCCACTCCATCCCAGCGATAACCGGGCCGTATGGCATACCGATTTTCCGGATAGCTGCCCTCGTAAACAGGCAGCACGGGCTTATCCGACAACTGATCTCGTTTCTTGCGCTTCTGTCGCATATACTCGAGCATGGGATCGTCCGCATGCTCCTGTTCACGCAGATGGCGATCCAAGTCCTCATCGTTGGCATAACGCGCCACAGGCTTGGCCGCCTCGTGCGCCATTTCCTCGTGTCGTGCCCGCTGATCCTCCAGCTGCTTGAGTCCCTTGCCCCAGCGTTCATATAGCTGCTTTTTTTGCTGCTCATGCGCCTCCTTGCGCTGCTGCTCTGCTGGATCCTCGGCCGCAGCGTCGCGTGCACGTCGCCCACGTCTGCCCGTGCTGCGCATCTGCACTTCCGCATCACGACCGGACACCTCGCTGGACATTTGCTCAAACATGCGTCGCTCCTCGCGCCGTCGCTCATCTGTTTCGGTCTTCAGCGATTGTGCATCCTGCAGACCCGCCTTCTTCCCGTCCAGCGTGCGCATTTGTGCTTGCCCCTTTGGTTTGTGCGTTGGCGGCGGCGATGGCGTCCGACTGGCCTCTGCCTTGGCCCAGCGACTTTTGCGCTCTTCTTTTTTGGTCCTGGTCGGCGACGCCTGTCGTCGATCTCTGCTGCTGGATCGACATCGCCTAGGCGGACTTTGATCGGAATCCCGTCTTTTTTTGGGCGGAGATTGCCGTCGCCTGGGCGGACTTTGATCTGAGCTTCGTCTTTTTCTTGGTGGTGAATGATCCGCATCACGGCGGCGCCTGGGAGGACTTTGATCGGCATTTTGTCTCTTTCTAGGCGGAAATTGGTCCACACCTCGACATCTTCTTGGCGGACTTTGATCAGAGCCATTCACTTTGGAATGTTTACCGACTGGGCTTTGATCGGCATCCCTTCCTCTCCTGGGCGGCGAATTATCAACATCACGACCTCGCCTGGGCGGGCTCTGGTCTGCATCCCTTCTTCTACTGGGTGGAGATTGATCTTTATTAGGACGTCTCCTGGATGGGCTTTGATCGGCGTCCCTTTTCCTCCTGGGCGGCGATTGATCCGCATCACGACCCCGCCTGGACAGGCTTTGATCGGTATCTCTTCTTCTCTTGGGTGGAGATTGATCTGTATTAGGGCGTCTCCTGGGTGGGCTTTGATCACCGTCCCTTTTCCTCCTCGGCGGCGATTGATCCGCATCACGACGCCGCCTGAGCGGGCTTTGATCTGCAACGCTTTTCCTGGGCGGCGATTGATCTGCCCCATGCCGTCGTCTGACTGGGCTTTGATCCGAGTCACGACGCCTTGGTGGGCTCTGGTCGGAGGGACGTCTCTTGAGGTAATGCGCCGGACTTTGCTCGCGACTGCTGCTACGCTTCTCCAGCTTAATTTTTATGGCGGGTGCGCCGCTATTGCTGGGGGACTGCTCCTGTTTGATATTGATTGCTGACGCCTTGCGACCCCACAAATGTGCTTCCCCATCCGCGGGCTCTTGCTTGATGTGCACAGCGTCACCGTTTTCCTCGCCTTCCCTTTTGGGTTCATCCTTAACCGCAATGTTGCGCCACTTGCTGCGTATTGCGTCCGGATTCTCCTCGATGTACTCGCCCACAATTTGCGGCGCATCCTCGCCGCCCAGCAACAGATCCTCATCCATTTCCTCGGTGTTTGCATCGTAGGCATCATCGTCGATGATTTTAACCTTTGCCTGTATGGACTTTTTATGTTTCTTTTCCTTCTTTTTCTTCTTCTTTTCCTTGTCGCCGGACAAATATTTCTTTAAATATTCCTTTTGATTTATTAATTTAGCATTTTGCATGGACATTTCGCCGTTTGTTTTTTTCTATACGATAAGTTGTACAAGCAGCTGCTTTAAACTTATCGATAGGTTTAAAAAGTTAGACGATAACAATTTCAAAAATTTTTAGTATTAATTAAATAGAGCCAAAATAGGCAGCTTTGCAGCAAATAAAAGGTTTTTATTAAATTTCACATTTAAAATGTTTTGTTAAATTTGGCAATGTGAGCAGCGCGAAACAATTTTGATGGTATCGATAACTGTGAACAGTATATTTGAGTATCGCCAAGCAAATTCTCGAGTTGGCAGCGCTACGTTCAAACACGTGAAGTTAGCTTTGGTATTTCTTAATATGTGTGGTATCGTTTTTACCTATGCCGAGTTCGGTCACACTGCCACTGAAGTCTAATTACTTTTTCTTGTGCCGCAGCCAATTTAATAATTTAATCTAATATATCAATACAAAACTAAATACGGAGATCTTGTTGTTCCTGAGTTTAACTTGTTTGTACCAATTTACGTGCCCAGTGAAAGGCAATTAAGCAATTATAGTTGCATCGGCGTGAAATTTAGCACGCCGCCGCCAAGGCGGTGGCGTTGGTAATTTCGCAAAATGTAAGTAAATCGTGCGGAATAAAAACAGTGCTAAAACACCGTTACACCGCGAGGCTCATAAAGACACACCCAGACAAGCGCACAAATCTGTAAGCAGTCATTGTCCTTCTCGAGATTTCCATCGCTTTTCCTTTTTTTTTGTAACGCAATGGCCGAGCAAACCGCCAGGCGAGAGTGCCTAAGAATTTCAACAGCAAAGCAGAGGCCAACAAAAACAGAGCACAATCAAGTCTGTTGGCAATTTAAGAGGCAAAAAAAAAACGCAACGGGTTGCAAAAAATATGAAACAGCAGCAATTTGTCGCCTGAAGAGCCTGTTAAGGGGCATGTTGCCCCTTTTTTTTTGCGTGATTTGCAGTTATTTTGCATTGACTGCAGCTTGAAATGGGCATTTTAAGTGAAATTTATAGCACAACGTGTGGGCCACTTGCTCTCTCAATCAGCACGCGCTCTGCACGCACACATACACTATGCATGTGTAGCATGTGCATGTCGCGCTCTATCACTCAGGGAGAGTGAGAGACCGCGTGAGAGCGTACGATTTTTGTTTGAACGTGCAGCATTTGAGTTGGGATCTGCTTAGACTTTTCTCAGTTTGAAAGCAACACGCGCCGCGTGCAGTTCGTTCAGCTACCTTAATACGGGAACTTCGCGCAATAAGAAAATAAATTGTTCTCGTGCGCTGCCTTAAATCCAAATTCAGTGGCCTCCTGAGTTTTTACAGTTGTGTGTGTTCATTGTTATTGTATTTTTATTTCAATTTAATAGCACGCCTAGATGTGTGTGTTTGTCCGGTCGCCCGTTTATTTAAATTTGAATTTACTTAAGTTGCCACTGTTTGGGGCAAGCGTTGCCGCTAATTGTTCGAATTTAGCTGCAAGCAACCTCAAAAATATATAAAAAGTTCTGATTACCGTTATATTTGTGCTTTTTGTGATTGCGTTCTTGCTGCTGTTGTTTTTCTGATTGACCAATAAGAATATTTTTGGTTTTTGTGGGCGCACGCTATGCTGCCATAAAGAGAGAGTCATTCGCTATATTTAGAACGCCAGCAAGGACGTTCGTCTCGCATTAGCATGCTTTAACTTTCCGGTCTGCCCTAGAAAACAACGCTCGCTATTCTTTCTTTTAAAATGAGCCTAAAAAAATCACACGACCAGATCGAGTTGAGGCCCAAATCTTGCGGCCGTTGGCCTACTAACCAAAACTTGTCCCAGCTCACACAACATACACACAGACACAAGCGCGCAAGAATTCATTATTATTTGTGTTTTTTTTTTTACATATATATGAATGTCTGTTTATCATTGCCCCCCGATCTGCTTTAGGTATTTTCTGCCGTGGTCAAAACGAAAGCGCGTTACGCCAGCAGAGCAGCAGCGGCCTCAAAGAAAGGCAGCGCGGCAGCAGCGATCGTGAGAGAGTTTACATGAGAGCGCACCATTCACAGCAAATGTGAATCGTGCGTGTGAAAGAGAGTGCAAAAGGAAAAAAGTTTAAAAAGCAGCGTAGATAGCTCAAAAGTGAAAGAACCGAAAAACAAACAATAAATAAAAAATAAAATAAAAATGAGTGCCAACAAGCGACGCCGTAGCAACAGCGAGAGCAGCCGCCAAATGGCCACAGCTGACTGCATGAATGCAGCCAAGGATGTGCGCGGCGGCAGAGGAATTCAACATTCAACAATTGACGCCAGCGTCGGAGACGGCGTTGCCGAGCTGCTTCAAATGCCGCGCGTGTGTCGTTGTTGTTGCAAAGGCGACATGGAATTGCTCGGCATTTTCGAGGCCAGCGTTGAGACAGCCAAACAGACAACACAACCTCAACGCCGACGCAAAACGACTACAATTGAAGAAGCAGCATCAACAACAACCACACAACAAAAACAACAACAGCGCAAAAGTGATAATCCCGTTGAATATGCGCTCAGCGGTGCGCACAGCAGTATGGACACTGTGTTAGAGGAGATGATCATTTGGATGCTCAATGTAAGTACAACAACAATAAATTGCTTTCCCTCTCGCTCTCTTTCAATTTACATGTTGATAACGCTGAGTTTTTATTTTTAATGCTGCGCCTAAAGTGGGCAATGCTGACCAGGGGGCAGTGGCTAATTGTGAAAGATGAAAAACAGCGGAAAATGGGAATTTTGAATTTTTGCTAAACAAGTTTTGTTTTAATTTTACGAAAAATACACACTTAGTAAATTCAAGTTTGGCAATTCCGTAAGATAATATATGTTTGGATTCATAGTCGGGAATTTATAAAAATAAAATGTAGCTTGTTAGTCTCTTTTTTTCCCAAGCGCACTCAAAGCCATTTAGTTCTAAAGCAACAAGTAACAAAATCTCAACTGCGTTGAGCTGCATAACTTAATTTGCGGTGTAGAACTTCCAAAGCGGCGTCTAAGTCAAGCCCTGTTGCAACAAAACAAGCTCACTCTCATTTCAAATTTAGTTGCTAACTGTAAATGAACGCAATTAAGAGCTTTCAAAGCTGAGCGAGAAGCAGTCGCAATTGCATTTGAAATAAGAGCAATAAGAGCAAAAACCAATTCTTAGTTTTCAGGCCGCTCACTTTAAGCTGTACATTGTTTTGAAAGCCATGCTTTTAAAAACTTTCCGCCTGTCATGTATTGTTTATGAATGCATCTGTGTGAGTGTTTCTGCGTGTGTGTGTGTGTTTTGTGCCTGCGCTGCATTTTGATACATCGGCTAAAACTGTATGCTGTTGTTTGCCGTCGCCCGCTCATCCATCTCTCTCTCTTTCACTCTCTCTCTCTCGCTCTGATCTGTTTAATTTTTAATGTGATTTATATGCCGCACATTGTGACTGACTCGGCACGAACCAATGAATACATGTATGTGGGCATGCATACATATGTGTGTGTGCGACTGGATGAGGGATTTGACTGACTGCCTTTGACGTGCCTTTTTCATTCGTGGCTGTCTGCCAGCCAGCATTCATTTTGTTAGCTTGTTGTTGTCTCCATTTCTTATTCGTATTCGTATTTGTCGTTTGTTGTGTTCTCTCTTCCCTAGTTGATGTGCTAGTAACTAAATTGAATTAACATCTCCCTGATTTCATTAGTTTTCCATTCTTGTCCTTACAATAGATAATGATGTTGACTTTGTGCCCGTTAGTTGATGATGTGTGATATCTCAATTATAACATATTTCATAATTCGTAATTGCGACATGCAATGCAATTAAGGTTAAACCAACTCGTAACCACCGTTAAAAATAACCACATTAACAGCTAAGCCAAGAACAACTTTTTATTATCATTAAAGCCCTAATTGAACCTTTTATTCAAGATATCATTTAACAGTTTTTAGTTCTTACCCACTCAGAATATCCTTAATTTAAGCTCTTAGCCCTGATCATAGTGTACTCGAACTTTAGCCAGAGAGTTGACCACATTCTAATACCCATTTAAAATGCTAATAAACGGGTAAAATGGTTTTTATGGAACAATTGTAACATGCAGAAAAGAAGCATTTGCGAAACCAAGGAATAAGTAATACAGTCTGTATATAAATTTGTGTTAAAGGTTCAGATCTTCCGGCAGCGACTTCTAAGCATACCTCGGATATTATTATATAGCCAATATATATCAAGAATCTTTAAATACTTAAATTTCGATTATATGGGAAAGAAGGACGAGCTCTTCCTCAAGGTGCGCCTCCTACTGCATAAGTATGTTTATATTTGGACTGTGGGGTATCTTATAGTCGAGCAGGCATCATTAAGGGATACTTACTTATTTTTTGTGCTTCACCTGGTCTTCACGTATTTGTTATTCTTAACTTTAGGGCCTTATCGCGTGCCAAGCATTTCTCCTCCCTACCGCCGGTCCCGTCCTCTTCCAATGTGTGCCATAAACACGCACAGCGCAACCTGAGCTTTTGCTGTGCCACTGTGCACACGTGTTCAACACCCTAAAAGAAATAGGGAGTCAAATCCATGGTATATGGAGTCGAGTCCGCGTTAGTTTCCGGTCAATTAAAGCTACTGCGATTGCGACATGGCCTTAGTCCCCATTGCAGCGTAAAGTTCTTCAGCCATATAGAGGCACCCCCTCTATATAAATATAAATATATGTATGTACAATATTATGGCTGAGATCGGGCTTTGGTTGTGGCAACAATTATTCATACTCATTACCAATAACGCGGGGGGCTCGACGACAAGCAATGGCAAGGCATGGCTACAACCGGTTTCCTTGGGAGGGCGGGTGAGAGAACCCCCCTCTGGCCTCGCCTTTTGAAACCCGCATTGCTTAAATGATTTGGACCCGCGGTGTGTGTGGATTTTTGTGAAGTATGTCTGTGTGTGTGTGTATGTCTGGCCGCAGCTCAAGGTGTTGCATGAAAAACTGTTTGACCTTAAGTCGCGCGTTTGGTTTTTAATACAATTTTGCTTGTAATTATTTTTCATTATTTATGATTATTCGCATAATGTGTCTATATACGCTCATATATTTATATATATATATTTGTGTGAGAAGAAAAACGAAATGAGTCCAACTGAGACGTGAGATTACACGTTACAAATTCATTTGCATTTTCAGTACATTCAACGAATTCTCTCCAATAGCTATTTCCAAGGTAGACATATGTATATACCTGATGTACCTGTGTGAAAAGTGAAAGGGGCGGATAATAAGACGGATCTTCAATGAAATATTTGAGTGTGTGTGTGTGTGTTGCATGCGCAGCTTAAGATATTTCGACAAAAAGAAATATATAATTAAATACAATAAAAAATAAAATACGTAAAGGAAAGTCAATGTTCGTTTGAAGATAATTAAAATCGAAAAACCTTCAACTGGGAAGTTTTATTTAAACGGTTTTCAAAACAGTTTCATTTTCTGTAGCAAATTATTTTATTTTAAATATAGCTTTTTCAATTCATACATTTTGTCTAAAGTTTTATACATAAGTCTAAGTATCTAAGGCCATTGTAAAACAAGAATCCGGGTTCGAATTCCTTGCTCGACGATCGCGAGCAAAAAAAGTGCGCTATACATTTATTTACATACCATATTACGATGTTCACTCAATGCTGATGATTGTGGGCACACGTATACGGAAATCGCTCGCACATGTGCTCGAGTGTCATTTGACAGTTTACTGTATGGGATCAATCATTAGAAAGCGCTCTTTAATTTGGTTCACGCTAATTGCGATGCGGCAGTGTGTATTAGTGTGTGGGTCCCATTGGTTACCGTTGTTCCCGGGTTTCGGTGCTACTCGTGTTCTTATTTTCACTCAATTTCACTATGATGTTTGAGTGTGACCCATTGAAAGGTTCTGCTCTTTTTTGAGAGCCATGCTCATTTCCTCGCGCTCTCTCTCACTCACGCTCTCTCTCGATCCCACTCACTTACATTGCACTCAACACTCGCAGCTTCGCATACAAATTGAATTGTTGCATTTCGCTGTAACGTTTATACATACGTGCGACGCATATTTATATTGTTGATTAGCGGGCAATGCTGGAAATTAATTGTTATAGCAATTTAACGATATAAGTCTTAATTGTTCCGTACATTGCCGTTAACGGGTTTTAAAGAAATTGTGAAATCTGCCCAAACAGTTAAGAGCTGCGCTAAGTGCTGTCATATTTCAACTAGCTAATTGACTCACTATAAACCACACGGCGAATGGTGAAAATCCAATCGAACAATCGTAATACCTTATCTGTCAGCTGCACCAACAAATTCTAAACACACACACACTATATATATATATATATATCTATATATATAATTGTAAACATAATTGAAATTAATCAATGTTCAATGCCCCTCTGTGTATTTTCCTATGCTTTGCTTGCGCTTCTCGCTGATAATGAAAATTAACCGAAAGAAAATTACAAGATTCATTCTGGCTGCAAGTGCGGCGCTGCAGTTTCTGGGTCATTGCCTATACCTTGACTTCGCCATAAAAGGAAGGAAAGCTTTACCTAAATGTTATCTACCCCACACACACACACCTCTTATCGCCTAATCCAATTTAGTTAGAAAAAAATATATATATTTGGTAAACAATTCGCCTTGTTTTGTGTTTGTCTAGAGATGGGCGCGTGATCATAATACTAAAAACACGTGATCTTGAAATCGTTGTAAACTAAATGCGATTTGTATAGTCGTATATTTGAACTGGGGCTAATATATTGTAAAATTTATTAATGAAGCACGCTCTTATGTGTTAATTCCAATAAAATTCAATTTGTATACCCTGTTAGAGAGCCCATAAAGTCCAATTGGAAAGAGTTTTCCACGAATCTTGGCTGCGGGTAGTGCATATTTTGAAGACAAGCGGAGCAGATCACTTATCATATTTGAGCTTGATTTTGATTTTATAAGCATCAGCCATATGTATGTATGTCTGCAAGGGTATCTAATCTTCTCTTCTTATTTACTATTTGCCGTTTCTACACATCACTAGTTTGTTTATTGAGTATTCACTCCGCAAATGATTAAATACCTATGGATGTATTTTTTTGTTTATTCATCTGATAAGGCATTCACCGTAGCGTTGTCTAATCTTTTAATTGCCACAACATTTATGTGATTTTTATTCAGCTTCCACATATAGTTTGGCTTGCATTTCTTTATATACAATATGGTTAGTTATATCTAGAGCAATGCGTATTGCATAAATTTAATGCTTATTGAAATACGAGCCACGTTAATTTAATTTATAAAGTATGTTGCTTGTTGTTCTATTTAGTTTTTCTTTTTATTGTGGCCTATGCAATGATAACGAAAGGTGAAATGTCTTGGGGCCTTACATACATAGGGCGTATGTACGATTGAGTATATAGATCGAGATAAGGATTGAATCTATTTATATATAAAATTCTGGTCTTATCAGCGGTTTTCAGCTTCATGTGGTAATTCTATTTGACATTGCGTAAACGTTGTAAATAATTGGTAAATAATAGAAACAAAATATTTCATAAATAATACAACTACCAAA